TCACGTGCGGTTCCAGTGTGTCCAGATTGATTTCAATCAGTTCATCGTATTCACAATTTTTGTCCGCGGACAGGATCTTGGACTGGAACTTCTGGGCTTCAGCTGCGATACCACCGCGACCGGTGGACTTCAGGTAGTCGGCCATGCGCTGATTGAAGGGGAACAGTGAAGTGGTTGCACCAATTTCAGCACCCATGTTGCAAATGGTTGCCATGCCCGTGCAAGAGATGGAGTCAACACCCTTGCCGTGGTATTCAATGATGGCGCCAGTGCCGCCCTTGACGGTCAGGATATCAGCCACCTTCAGGATGACATCCTTGGGCGAGGTCCAGCCGCTAATCTTGCCAGTCAGGTTGACACCAATGACCTTGGGGCACTTCAACTCCCAGGGTATGTCGGCCATGACATCGACGGCATCAGCACCACCGACACCAATGCACAGGCCACCGAGACCGCCACCATTGGGGGTGTGCGAGTCAGTACCGATCATCAGCAGGCCGGGGAAGGCATAGTTCTCCAGGATGATCTGATGGATGATACCGCTGCCTGGCTTCCAGAAGCCCAGGCCGTACTTGGCGCAAGTCGACGCCAAGAAATCGTACACCTCACGATTCAGATCCTTGGCACGGGCCAAATCCTTAGGTCCACCGACCTGAGCTTCGATCAAGTGATCGCAGTGCACGGTCGAGGGGACAGCAACCTTCTTCAGTCCGGAGGAGATAAACTGCAACAGGGCCATCTGAGCGGTGGCATCCTGCATGGCCACACGGTCGGGCCGCAGACGCAGATACGAAGTGCCACGCACAATATCCTGATTCGCCGGATCATCCAAATGCGAATACAGAACCTTCTCGGACAGAGTCAGAGGGCGATTCAGACGACTGCGCACCACTTCCAGACGCTTATTCAGCTTATCGTAGGGCAAATAGACGTCCGAGTCGAATTTCGACAGGGCCACCTTGGAGGCGGTGTAGCAGGAAGCATGGAATTGACGTACCATGGGATCCACAACATGCTTGCCCAGTTTGCACACCTGTGAAATCAAATTAGAAAAGGGTTGAGCAATTATATTGAATGTTATTTAAAAAGATTACAGCTTATTAAGACGGCGTGGAAATGGGCTATATGAAGCGTGGCCTAAAAGAATATACATTCCAATTAATAGCAAAAGAGTTAAATATTTTGTTATGTAACCACTTGTTATTAGACTATTAGAAATGTTAACAGATAAATACATGTAAATAACATTTATGCCACTGTAGGAACTTTAGCCAAATATTTATAAGATACATATTTACATTAACAACACCGTTATTAACAGCAAACATTTTGTTGCAGTTCAGTTAACATTTCTATTTAATCATAAATCATTGACAGAATAATTTGTTTGCGCATCGCTAATGCAATGCGTAAACCTTGTGATTCGTATAGGGGCCACGCTATAAATAATAGTTGATTAACATATCACGGACGCTTATATTATTAATTAACTGTATCAATAGTCTAACGATAAGATAGCCATTGACAACAGGGCATGTCACTTGGTTAGCAGAGAGGACACTACTATTATCCAATAATACCTATTTATCTCTCGAGTAGATACTTTTCTAAGTTGATAGCCCCCTCAGAGTGGGAAAACAACTTAAAATCAACATTGAGGTACTTTTGGTTTTATATGCATCAGTAAACACTTCGTATTATTTCACGTGATCAATAAAAACAACAAAGAGAGTAGGGAGAACGCAGCAAACTACGTCAAAAGTTCAATAGCTTCTAGGCATTGGAGTTGGAGATGTTATTGCACCCATTGCATATGTATCAGAACGCCCAAACTTCAGGCTGTTTACTTGTTTATTCTTATTTTATTTATTGAAGTGAGTGACTTTCATATACAATACACTTTCATATATATTTATGTACTCTAATTAAAAATACTATCAAAGTGTCAGCAGATAAGAACTAATAAGATATATGGCAGTGTTTCTCGCAACGTTGAATAACGATGCTTACATAAATACATTCTTAGCACGTTGCTTAAATTGTAGCAATTATATTCATTGAATTTTATTATTCGTTTTTATTTCTGCTACTGAGTTGCAATAAACTTTTTTCACGCACACACTCATACGCACTCATATTAATTATATACTACTTTCTTGGAAAATTAAAAAAGAGCAGCAGAAAATGCTTCGGTTAGGTAACAACATTTTGATTGGTTTTTAGGTTAGAAAATCGCAACGCGAAAAATTCCAATTAGCATTAAATTTTCCTGCAATTATGCATATGAATATGAACCATTTAATTGTCGGCACACTGTTTTAATATATTGTTATTGGACTTTAATTGTCTTATCAGCATAAATTGATTTTCCTGCATGCGTGTGCGTGTGCGTATGTGTGTCTGGATGCACAGATTCCCGCTTCGCGCTTCCAGAACTTTTCTTGGCATGCTTATTTGGCAACACGTACCTGTGCCTGAGCGTTCATTATTCTTGCTGCCATAATTACGCGACTTTTTTCGTACAATATCAAACTATATATAAACACTCGAAATTTTGTATGGTGGCTTTAAGTGATAACACAGTCGTCAAAATTTTCAGCCCTCTCAGCCGGAAGATTTTAACACAGACTGAGCGCAAATCGCGAAAACTAGCTGGCGGTGAGGGTGACATGGTATTAGAGATGAGCATAAATTATCCGATGTGACTGGTACGTTTCGATAGAAGAGGCACACGTTCCTAAATGTATTAAGCGCAAACATGTTACAACTGCATCATGTGCAGTCTAACTAGATGTGTTTGAAAAAACGTACTATGTAACTGTCAAGTTTTTCTTCTGATTGGCTATTAATATTCAATATTGGGAAATCACTGGTGGCCGTCACAATATCAGTCTGTTGCTCAGCTCTAGCTGAACTAGTTATCGATAACAAAATGTAATGTTTGCCAGCACTGGTTTTATGTTTTGTTTGCGTGGGTGGATGGGCGGGCGCAACCATTTGTCACAACTGGTCGAATAATATATTAGTTGGAAAACATAAATTAGAAATCACTAGAAATGTGCAGCCGTGTTGCTGCTTGGCATTGCAATGTCGGATCGTCGTAAACGTGGGTACATGCCCGAAATAACCATCGATTATCAAGCAGTGCCGTTACATGTATCCAATGCAACGGAAATTATCAATCGAAATTCAAACTCAACGTCAACAACGTCAACGACTACGTCATGCTGCAGGCGCCCCGCTGTAGCTGCGGCAGAGGGCAACGCGTTATGCTATGGTCATGGCTATATTATACCCGTTCTCATACTTTTTGTGCTTGTGTTAACTGTGCTCCTGTTGCCTTGGGAGACCCTAAACGGCCATATGGACGAAACCACCCCCGTGGAAAAGCCATTGCCTTGTCAATTACAGCTGGTGGAGACAATACCTATTGGCCTGAACTACACGCCCGATAGTCCGAAGTTCTTGAGCACTTTCGAAGCATGGCAGCTGCTACTGAATAAAGCAAAGGCAACAATTGATATAGCTGCTCCGTATTGGACATTGCGTGGAGTCGATGTCAATGACAGCAGCACACAGCTGGGTGAGCAGCTGTTTCAGCGTTTGCTCTCGAATGGAGATCCGGGCAAGCCAAAATTACGCATACGCATTGCTCTTAATAAGAGCGTGGAGAGCTCGTGGCATGCGGATGCCAGAATCTTTGCCAACTATGGCGCCGCTAAGGTGGTGGCCGTTAAGCTGGCCAACGAAGGTGCCTTACACACAAAGATGTGGATTGTGGATGGACAGCATTTCTATTTGGGCAGTGCCAACATGGACTGGCGGTCGCTGACACAGGTCAAGGAGCTGGGTGTTCTTGCTCAGAACTGCCCACACTTAACACGCGATTTGTCGAAGATATTCAAATCTTACTGGCAACTGGGCAGCGATGGAGCTGCAGCCATACCCAAGCCGTGGCCCTGGTCCTATCATTCCCTCTACAATCTACGTCAGCCTATGCTTATACGAATTAATAGTAACTATACCATGCGTGCCTATATATCCAGTGCCCCGCCGCCGCTCACGGCTAGTGGACGAACTCATGACTTGGATGCCATTCTCAACTGCATAGATACGGCAGCGGAATTCGTTCATATTGCAGTCATGGACTACTATCCGTTGATTCTGGTGGGCGCCAAACTGGAATTTTGGCCACTCATCGATAACGCTCTGTGCAAAGCAGCCCTTGAGCGTGGAGTGGCTGTTAAGTTGTTGGTTTCCTGGTGGAAGCATTCGGATCCCAATGAGGACAACTATCTGCGTTCGCTGCAGGAATTGTCAACATTCAACCACCAAGTAGATATACAAATAGTAAGTATATCTTACAGAAGTTCCATACACATATATTACATATTCATCCTCCGCCATAGCGCCGCTTTATTGTGCCTTCGGATGAACAGCAGTTGAAGATACCCTTTGCACGTGTCAATCATAATGCTTACATGGTCACTGAACGAGTGGCTTACATAGGAACCTCCAACTGGTCGGGCGAGTACTTTACATACACCGCTGGTGTGGGTCTTGTGCTGGCCGATGTGGATTTCGAGAATGAAACGCAGCATACGTTGCGTTCGGATGTTGTGGATATTTTTGCCAGGGATTGGCATAGTCCGTATGCGTTGCCACTGAAATATAACCTCCGTCTTTGAATTTTTTTACGTAATTTGAACATATTGCGCGCTCTCATCCCGCCGTGCTGTCGTTTAACAACACTGCCACAGACAGCTGCTACTCCAAGTCATAAAAAAAATAGTCAAATTGAACCTCAATAGAAAAATGTTAAAATATGTACAAAAGACTAAAAAAGCCAGCCAGCCTAATAATAGTTATAGCTTACTAATAATTGAAACTGTGGCAAACAATAAAAGATCTCTTATATTTAAATTTACCGCGTAAATGTTTAAACTGTTTTACAATACTGCCTTGACAGTCAGCTGGTGCATGCCATAACAAATACTGTAACCGTAAAATATAACCTCAATAAACAAATGTCTAAATAAATAGAACTCCAAAATTATGGCAGGCAAAAAGCCGACTCGTGATCTTCTTGGGATTATTTGGCAAAATTTTTGGCGTTCGCTGCAGCCGCGCCGAATCCGTGGGACCTACATTGGCGAGGATTATTTTGGCAATAAATACTACGAGATACCGCCAAATCCTTCGCTTGGCAAACGCAAACCTTCACGCTGGTTCGAGCCAGCCGACAAAGATGCCTTCGACCAGGAGTTGACAGCCGAATGGGAGGCGTGGCTGCGTGGACGACGGGACGATCCGCCTACGCGCGAAGAGTTGGTGAAGAACCTGCAGATCATGGAGCTGAAGAAGCGCAATGCAGCCGAGCTGGATGCGCACTACAGAAAAGAGAAGGATGCGGGCGCGCTACCAAAGCAGGTGGAAGGAGAAACCATAGGCACGTTTCCCAAGTACAAGGAATACGAAATTAATCCTGGCAAGAAGCCTTTGGGCTAATAGAACTTTATTTCCGTACCTAAATAATTAATTTGTTAATATATGTACGTATGTCTAGTTTATTCCTATGATACAATCGTTTTTGTGGTGGTTGCTTCTGTTTCACCAATCATTCAAATCTAGATCCTTGACAATATCCACAGCTGTGCCAGCGTCGTCATATTCTTCTGCAGGCTCTGAAGGCGCCACTTTCTCCGGCTGCTCCTTTGCTTCCTGTTTCTCCTGCTTGCGCTTAGGTTTCTTCGGTTGCGGCTGCTCCACCTCTGAATCGTCGTCGTCGTCCGTGGGCAATCCCGCTTCATCATCATCTTCTGAATCGGATGGGAAGAGCTCAAGTTCACCATCTTCATTGCGCACCGGGACGCCTGTCTTGGCAGCCGGTCGCTTCAACTTGGGTATATCGTAGTCCGCATTGATGTCGTCCGTTTGAGCCGCTTGGCGTCGTTTCTTCGTCTCGTGCGTCTTCAACCAGCTGGCATAGTAGATGTCCAAGGGAGTGCGCTTGTTACGCACCTGTTGTTCCCATGCCTGAACTGCCTGAACATCCTTTAGGTCGAACGTGACGCTGCTCTTGCTGCGCTGTTGCTCAATGAAGCGGCTGCTCTCCTGAATCTTATCAAGCAGCTGCTTCAGCTTTCGCACATAGTTGGCATTGCGGCACTCTTTGAGATAAGCCTTGAGGGCCATCACCACTGGCACAACCAGATCGCTAAACGCCAACGTGGAAGATTCATGAGCCAAATATTCCAAGAGCAAGCCACACACCTGCTCCACGACCTCATCCCGGAAACCATTCTCCGCCAGCTGCGATTTGTTCAAACGCAGAATGCACGTAAATTGAAGAGGCTTCATGGACACCGACGTGTGTTTGCGGTTGAAGGTGTTGCTGCGGAGCACCTCCACAATGAGTGGCAGCACAGGCACATAGGTGTGCGTCTCTTTGGAGAGCGAGATGAGCGACTGCAGGCAATGGAAACGCAGCGGAAAGTACTGAGCCGTCGGTATCAAACGAATCACGCCTATTGTAATCGTCACTAATGGATAGATAAGCGGCTGCAGCTGTGGCTTATTTGCGCTGGCTCCCAACAGATCCGCCCAGAGACGCAGCGAATTGATGAACTGCCAATTGTAAACGGCCTGGAAGCTATCCTTCTTCTTTAAGATGACCGCATTGCGCAGATGTATGGCCAGCTGGCGGATGTAGAGGAACGCATGCTGGTAGCTAACATTCAAGTCCAGTGCGAACATCTCCACCAACGAGCGGCGCATGAAATTGATGCCAGGCAGCGTGTTGGGCGAAACGAATTTGGAATTCCGCACATATGCCAGATACATGGCCTTAAGAACGTGGTTTAGCATGGTGGCCTGCAAAGGAAGATACCAAAAATTAGTTGAAATCCTAGACAGAATTAGATGCAACTCACCTGTTGCTTACGTGTTATCTTGAGTATGCAAAGGAAAGCCAACACACGCACTGTCTCATCACCTGTTGCCCAGAGCACAATGAGACGCTTTAGTATGGTTTTTCCCAGTGCTGTGAACGGTGCCACCATGCCGGCCATTTGATGCAGATGCTTGAGCAGCACGGTTAATATATTAGAGCTGGACACCTGTTCTATGAGGCGTATCAGATCACCCAAATAGTAGCGCAGACAACCACGCACCTTCACCCACTTCTTGTGCTTGTGCAAGGGTAGACTACTATTGGGCTTGACACCCAACACTTGCACTATGGCCGGCTGCAGATGGAGCACACAGAGTTGGATGACACCATTGAAGGCGGCGGCGCCAACTACTTTGTAAGCAGCGGCATTTGCCTGTTCGCCCTCTGCATCGGCACTAATGCTAGCCAAGGCAGAATTGAACGCTTGAATAACCTGTCGCACTGCCTCAATTGGCACATTGGGCTTCTCCAGCTGCAGCTGCCATTGGCGCAGCATATTGAGTGTGATTTTTTGTTGACCACCCGCAGCTATTGTTTCCTCATCATCGTCTTCTCCTTCGAAGTCACTCTCATCACTGGCCACGGCCAGATCACTGCTAGGCTTGTGATACTTCGCCTCGTCCTCTTCGCTGTCTTCGGCAACAGTAGCTTCATTGTGTTTCTCATCTTCCTTCTCGTCATCGTCATCATCGCTGTCCATAAGATTAAAATCCAGCAGTTCTTTGTCGTTCTTTTTAAGGAAATCATAGAACTCGGGATCTATATCCTTTATACCCTCCAAATCCTGTTTGTGTGATTTCTTGCCCGCCTTCTTCTTGGGCTGTTTCTCAACTTTACTTGGCTTCGCTTTCTTCACGGCCTTTGCCAACTTTGGGATCTCCTCTGAATGTTGCTTTTTCTTTATAACTGCCTTTTTGGACTTTGTTTTGTCCAAGGACTTGACTTTTTTCATTGCTACCTTCATAATTGTTTTCGTTTTAAATTTTTACAAAATGCAACACGTGCGGCTTCCCACTTACAAAAGTACTCAATTCTTAGTAGAAGTATCGAGGCTTAACAGAATGAGTATTTGTTAACAGAATGGTGTACAGCTGTCGATAAATTGTGGTGGCTGTTCGATATTAGCGGTTTAGCGGTTATTTGAATTTTAAATGAGAGAAAGCTTATTTTTGTTTAACAATAGATAAATAAATATATAAAAATATACATACAAAATTGTTATTATTTTATTACTGCAATGCAGTTTTTTTTTGTATATGACAGAGAAATTGAAATATATGTGCGTATATAACTTATTTAGAAAGAATGAAAGCAAAGCTAATTGTTTCCCAGCTGCACTATAATTAATCATATAAATACGTCAATCAACTAATGGAACCGCTTCAGGGGGGCGTTGACTAAACTCTACTATCATTTTTCAGTTGCAGTTACGCCTGCGACTGCGTCAGGGGCCACACATCTGGCCAACTTGTTGCCAACTGCCGCTCTGCGAGCTGCTGTTGTTGTTGTTGCCGCTGTTACAGCAACTGAAAACGAGAGTTTGGCTTAAGTGGAGCAGGGGTTGTTTGCCTTGATCAACGGCACTCGCAATTATTAATAGAAAAATTCACGTAATGTAAAAAAAGAAAAAAATTAAAATTAAAATAAAATAAACAACAGCAAAGCTTGATACGGACAGCTTAAATAATTGTATGCAAGCGGGGACCTCAGATCCGCCTTAACACCACCTACATTGCCTAGCCGCCCCTCGCTCCACCTACAGTTTACAGTTATGTGTTGAATTTCTGGTGAATGTGCTCGCGCTCGATGTGCACAGCTTCCAGACATCCCTCCAGTGTTACGAAATCGCATTTAGGCAGCGCCTGATAAGCTCTAAGCGCTAAATGGCCGCTTCAATAAAAATGTCAAATGCTGAACGTGTGCCTGCAATTGTCAATCGACGCCCACAGGTTCTCTGTTAAGAGTTGTTGCAGTTGTAGTTACAGTTACAGTTACAGTTCCCGCTGCAGTCATAGCTAGTTCCAGCTCACACGCAGTAGCATTCGACGCTGCTGTTGTTACCATGTCATGTTGGCAGCCGCGCCCAATGGCAATCGCCCATAAATCTTGCCCGGCCAGTTGCCATTCACTTTTTTGCTCAGTCTTTCTTGTTGTTGTTGCTTTTTCGTTTTGCTTCCCTATGCTACGCGTGCACGCAGAACGAACGCATGACGCAGTCGCTGTGTATGTGTGTGTGTGTGTGTGACAAATTTCCTTCTATGCGTCCAAGTTCAAGTTTACGCAGCTTTTCGGTTACACTCGAAACGCTTCCTGTTTGTCGGCTTGGCGGTTCATTGGACGCACGAACGCACTTTACTGGTTTCTATTTTGCACGCAGCCGCTTTTGGCCCACTAAATGCGCAACAGCAACAGCCACTGGCAACTGCATTCAGCATCACTTCAACGGCAGCTTGAGCCAAGGCCAAGTCTGGCATTTGGGCCAACAACGCATTTGGCATGCGCCGCCCGTGCAATTCGGTTTTTGCTGCCGGTTTGTCGATCTTGTTTGTGACTTGGGCTTTGTTTGTAGCGCTT